AAAAAAAAAAAAAAAAAAAGAAAAAAAAAAAAAAGAAAGAGAATGCTCTCCCTAAAGTATCTCAGAGAATTATGAGCCAAGTCCAAAACAAAGCACAGAAACAACCACAGGCTCTGAGCTGGAACGGCTCTTCAGAAGCTGAAATCTGGGGCCAGACAGAGGCACATGGTCTTCTGTGAGGCAATCCCATTTGGGAAGGTTCTTGGTTCACGTCTAGAGATCTTCCTTAGTACCCTGGGAACACATGTGCCCTGGCTGAGGCTAGGCGTGGATTGTGGTGCCAAGACCCTGTTGGGTGCTGTCTCCTTCTATCCCTCCCTTTTTCCTCCCTCCCTCTCTTCCCCTGTCTCATTCATGGAAGAACTTAATAAATGAACTTAAAAAGTCTACAGTCCTGTCCTGCTAAGAATGAAGATCTGAGGCTCACAAGAGGATAGGGGATGCTCCCAGCTTACATGGTGAGGGGATAGAAACTTCAGTTTTCAAACTGCGCCCCGACAATCAATTTTCTACATCAATCTACTTGAGGCTTTTAGTGATTAGTGATTACTGAAGTGAGTAGTGAAACACACGAGAATAAAAATCGGATGGCATCTCTCATCTTAAAAACACTTGCTCCCTATTGCCTTTAAGTTGCAGTCTAAATTCCTTATCCTGCTCTCTAAGGACTTTTGTGACCCTGCCCTGCCTTGTTCTCCAGGTACAGCTGATGTCATTTCCTGTCACCGCCCCACGTTCTAGCAGCCCCACCTGTTGAGCTCTCTATTATGTTTGGCCAGATATTTTTTAGTACTCAGGTTTCAACGGTCAACCTGGGGCTGCCTCTCTCCTGAAGCTGTCTCTGACTGGGCCCCAACGAAGGCCGTGCCCGCCCCGCCTAAAGCAGTCTGCACGGCTGCGTGTCTTGACTTCGCTCTAGTCATTCACTTTCTCCTTCAAGTGAGGGTTTTCCAAAGTAAGGAGTATCTAATTAATTCCACAAATAGAAACGAAGCACCCATTACAGGTTATGTGCTGTTCCAAGCGCAGGGGCCCGAACACTGAAACAAAGAAGACACAGTTCATTCTCGTGGAACTTACCTCCTAGTGAGACAGGCAGAAAGTAAACGGATATTGGGTAGCTGGAAAAGTCATGACATGTTTTTTTTTCTTTTTTATAAAGAATTATTTTATTAAACTTTATTTGTGTATTTTATTTTTAATTTGATCAGAGAGGGAGGGAGGGAGGGAGGAAGGAAGGGAGAGAGAGAGAGAGAGAGAGAGAGAGGGAGAGGGAGAGAGAGCAAGCAAGCGGTCAGGCCTGGGACTCCAACCATGGTCAGTCATGTGGGAGTCCAGCGTCCTTAACCACCATGCCACCTGCTGTCCCCATGATGTGTTTTTCTATGCAAAAATGCGTCATGACTTTTCTGAGGACCCAATAAACTCATGCAGGATAAGGAGATAGAGCTGTAAGGGAAGTCTTCTTTGAGGAGGTGACATTTATGCCAAACTCCCAAAGGAGGTAAAGGCACAAGACTTAGGAAGATCTGGTGGAAGAGCCTTCCAAGCAGGGGACATACCAAGGGCAAAGATTCTAAGGTGGGAACATGTTCCATGTTTAAGGAATGGAAAGAAGGTCAGTGTTGCTAGAACCGAGTGAGCAAAGGGGAGAGTGGAGAAAGACCGGGTTAGACAGGAGGTGGCAGTTAGATGAGGTGGGACACTGTTGAGTGAAAATGAACCAAACTCATTCTCAGCATAAAGGGGAAACCACTGGAGACTTTTGAGCAAGGGAGGCACAAGATGTACCTAAAAATGCCTCTGCTTGCTCTGGGTGGCGTCACTGGCCGAGTCGCAGAGCCCGGCTAATGGACCAGTACAGAGGGCAGGTGCAAGGTAATTGTCATGCTTCCGGGTGGGATGTGACAATGCTGATGTGCACGACTAGAAGGAGTCAGATAAGTGATTTTAGAGGACCATGCAGAGCTCTGACAGCATCAGATGAGTTGGCATTCCAGAGAGGGGCGCCCTCTGAGGACACCAACACCGCTTGCTTTTCTGAGGGCGTTTATCCGTTTGGGCGTGGACTGAGACTCAACAGTGGCCTGTGGGGAAGAGCTCTCCCGGGGGAAAGACAAACCCGAGGCTGGTGTGACACACGGAAACTCGAGGAGCCCCTTGCACGTGGCCAATCTCTCCCACGGGACATACGCAGAATTTGTGGCCTGCACCTTGGAGCCACAAGACTAGGCCGAGAGCTTCTACATGTCAGAAATCTCCCATAATCTTGTGGTTTTAGGAAACAAGGTCTACTGAAAGGAGCAGGTCTCCCTCACACACCAAGCGGACCTCCTCTTCAAGATAGAGGCCATATTTTGAAACCATAAAGGGTGAGAGAGAAAAGAACTCAGTCCCAGACTTCTCGAGGGCAAGATGCTGTCCTGTAGTTTCACCCCTGAGGAGACAGAGATCTGTTAGGTTCTCATTCTAGAGCCCAGGAAGGCTCAGATCCAAAAATGGATAATCAGAGGTACAAGTCACACCTGGACTGGGTTAACCCATGGCTAGACTGGGCGATCAGGCCCTTATCCCTTTCTTCTTAGCCCAGAAAAAGAATTCTTTCCAATGAAAGATATTAGCTGAAGCCTGAACAGTTCTTTTATCTAAAATGTTTAGCAAGCCATATAAAAATTACTGATATAAAAGAGGCAAAACCAGTGTAATCAGAATTCAAGAGAAATACAGGCAATAAAAGGAGATGCATATTTTATCCAAATAACAGAACACACACAGATTTGAAAGTAATCACACTTAGAGGCCAAAGGGTGGCATGGTGGTAAAACACGGCACTACAAGACAACCTCACGTGGGAAGGTTTCTGGTTCAAGTCCGGAGACTTCCGTGGGTATGCTGGGCAGGTCTTTAATCATGATCCCGGCTGGCTAAAGGCTGTGGGTGAACTATGACATCAAGAACCCATTTAGGGGTGCTGCCTGTCACTCTCTGGAGAAAGAAATAACCAAAAATTAAAAAACCCACTAGGAGACGGTCTTGGTAGCCTAGTGGTTAAGGGAAACAGACCCTGCAAGGCTAGTCACAGTTTGCGTCTCAGTTCTGGAAAGTTCTGATGACCTGGAGAACTGGAAGAGGGGGATTGCAGCATGATCAGACCTCATGGAGGGTGCTTGTCTCTGTCTCTCAAGTGTGAGTGCGTGTAATCTATCAGGAATAAAGACAAAGGAGAACAGAAAGAAAGAAAAAGACTTTATCTGAGACACTCCAATGTTCAGAAGTGGGCGAGTAGAGGAGGGTCCAGGAAGGGAAAATAAAGAGTGACTCATGAATCCAGAAGAAAATGAGATGAGTGTGACGTCCCGGAAGCCAGGCGAGAAAATTATCTGGAGAAAGACGCACGTCAGCCAAAGTGATCAATGGAAACATCACCCAGTGTGGGATGCACTGACATCACGTGCCTCCCGTGTGGTATGATGAGGGTACTAGATTGCTTACGTAGTATCTCTGCCCAGAACTGAGAACGTGAATCGGACAAAGCAAAACAGAGGCACGTTCAACAAAACAACCAGCCTGGTGCTCTTCAAAATGTCAGCATGAAAAAAAGACAGGCCACCCTCTGGCCTGTCTTGTTTTCCAGAAGACTAAAGTGACACAACAATAAATGCAGTGTTTGATTCTGTACTGGAGCCTGACTTAGGGAAAAAGAAATGTTGCAAAGGATATTCGGATACTAGTCAAAATATGAAGGTTGTCTATTGGGCTATGGTTGATGCCAAGTGTGTCCTATCGGTTCTGAATGTCTAGTTGAGCCCAGAAAGACTCCCTAGGGGGCACTGTATGATTACCTAATACACCTGAAGATGTGTAGACCCTAGAATGCAGCAATTCCTACCTTTGGTAGAAACTCCAGAGAAATTCTTGCACATGTACATCAGAATATGTATAAAAGAATGCTATACCAGTATTATTTGTAGTATCTGAACATTTGAAATGGCTCAGATATCCCCTATTGATAAAATGGGCTTAAAAAAACAGTTAATACAGTTAGGGCCAGCCCTGCGGGTTGGTTAAGGGAGCTAGATCACCAGCTTCGTGGTTAAGAGGGCTGATCACTGGCCAACTGTGGCTCAAATCCTAGCCCCAGAGACTAAAAAACTGTGCTGTGCATGTGTGCCTAAAATCCCAGTGGGATGGAGATATGGAGAAGAGACTATGGTGTGATGATACCCCACTAGGGGGTGATTTTTATCCCCTCCCTCTTTGGTGAATGCAAATGTTCTCTAACAATTAAAAAAATGATTGTGTAATTAACAGTTCTCAAAGTGTGCTCTAAGACTCCCTCCCCCCGCCCCTG